TTTGCCTGTGTCGTAGTCAGGACAGGTGTTGTCGCATGATCCACACATGCTGTTGTAGAAGTCAAGATGTGGAGAGGCAAGATCACCTACAGCACGTATAAAACATGTGAAGACACTCTCACAGATCGTGGAGTAGGGGAACCAGCACCCTAGCTCATTAGACAAGGATGAAATACTCGAAAAACTCACGTGTACGTTACCCGGATGACAAATTCCACGTCATTCGAGATTTTACAAGGGGAGACCATAATGATGCTGCCTGGGACAAACTGTCCGAATTACAGAAATAATAATCACACAATTATAGAGACATCCTTGGCTTAGGCATTGGAGTCCGACTCGTAATTCCAACATACCCCTATCGAAATCCACTGCTAGCTGGGTGGATTTTTATCATGGTATGGGGCGTCGCAGGTCGACCCAGCCTAAAATGGCAACCTATGGAAGTAAAGACGGCCGGCATAATGCTTACCACATTACCCACCTAGTGCCGATGGTCTGTAAAAATATGGGTGCTCTTCCCATATGTCTGATGCGCCTAAAGACGTGGAAAGGGATCGTTTCTTTACATTACTCACATATTTATAGCACATGACATTATGGTATCCCTTCAGGATAATCATGATTTCTCGGTCACATTGTGATCGTCTGTACTTGAAAATGGTATATCTGTTTTCTCAGCCTGACTATGCAGGTTATGTTGTATCTGAAATCCTAGTAAACATACAATTTCTTTGTGTTATTATCATCTGCTATTGTTTACCGTTTGTATCCTTACTATGCTATTCTTAATAGTGCTTATTGTGCTGTTTGTATTTGAATCACGTTGTTCATGTAATAAATTGTATATCTGCGTGGTTCCACGAGTTGTCTGTCAGAAGTTATATAGACTGCAGACTAAAACCTCTTTTCCAGAGATCCCACACATTTCCACACGTCTCTGAGGAGCGGAGTGACGCCTAGGTTTCTTACAGAGGCAGAAGAGGACGACAACTACATGGAGGACATAGGTGACCATATCGTTGTCTGATCTTGTCTTCTAAAACATTGGTCACATGTGTATTATGTGTCTGTCTTCTTGTCTGATCTTGTCTTCTGTAACATTGGTCACACTCGTATTAGGTGTCCGTCTTTGTGTCTGATCTTGTCTTCTGTAACATTGGTCACATGTGTATTATTTGTCCGTCTCCTTGTCTGATCTTGTATTCTGTAACATTGGTCACATGTGTATTATTTGTCCGTCTCCTTGTCTGATCTTGTATTCTGTAACATTAGTAACATGTGTATTAGGTGTCTATCTCCTTGTCTGATCTGGTCTTCTGTAACGTTGGTCACATGTGTATTATGTGTCTGATCTTGTCTTCTGTAACATTGGTTGCATGTGTATTAGATGTCCGTCTTCTTGTCTGATCTTGTATTCTGTAACATTGGTCACATGTGTATTAGGTGACCGTATCCTTGTCTAATCTTGTCTTCTGTAACATTGGTTGCATGTGTATTAGATGTCCGTCTCCTTGTCTGACCTTGTATTCTGTAACATTGGTCACATGTGTATTAGGTGACCGTATCCTTGTCTAATCTTGTCTTCTGTAACATTGGTTGCATGTGTATTAGATGTCCGTCTTCTTGTCTGATCTTGTCTTCTGTAACATTGGTTGCATGTGTATTATATGTCCGGCTTCTTGTCTGATCTTGTCTTCTGTAACATTGGTTGCATGTGTATTAGATGTCCGTCTCCTTGTCTGATCTTGTCTTCTGTAACATTGGTTGCATGTGTATTAGATGTCCGTCTCCTTGTCTGATCTTGTCTTCTGTAACATTGGTTGCATGTGTATTAGATGTCCGTCTTCTTGTCTGATCTTGTATTCTATAACATTGGTTGCATGTGTATTATATGTCCGTCTTCTTGTCTGATCTTGTATTCTATAACATTGGTTGCATGTGTATTATATGTCCGTCTTCTTGTCTGATCTTGTCAATTGTAACATTGGTTGCATGTATATTTCTGTGATTATGAACACCTTTGCACCGATGTCTTCACACAGTCAAGACCGGTGGGCAGTTGTTGCTGGAAGTCCCGGGTTCAAGCCCCAGTGACGACTAGGATTATTTCACCAGTACATCTAGTAATTTGACATTGTCTCTGCTTAGTAAAATCGGAGTTAAAAGTAGAACGGAACACTTGTGGGTTATAACCCTTGTACCATGATGTTGATTTGTTGTTTAAACTTCAAACATTTGATACCTCTTGACCTGTTCTCTTCTCCCACACTGTCTATAGTACTCCCCCACAAAATTGAGAGGCTGTCATTGACCGTTACATAAACAACATCAAACATTGACAATACTTGGGTGCTTCAAGCTATGGAAGCTCCCGACCCCCCCAAAAGACCCCTATTTTTTATATTTTAATGTTTTTTTTTAAAGCAGACATTGATTGGGGAAAAAATAAAGACAAGAACAAAGGACAGAAGAAAGACCAGAAGAAAGACAAAACTCACGAAGTTTGACATCGATTCAGAGCCTAACCTACTGTCGATAGATGGCGCTGGGTGAAGCAAACTTAAAATCTTTTTAGTAGGCATCGATTGCAAAAAAAAAAAAAAAAAAACTATAAAAATCGACTGGGAGACAAAATAGACAAAAGACGAAAAGTCTGACATTGAGAGATAGTGCAGCAGGGAACTCACGACGCCCGACAGCCTGGGTGCTTGTGTACTCCCCCTTTACCACACAGTAAACTACTGATGGCTTAAACTTCTGTAACGTAGTTGTGACAATGCTTTCTTTTTGGTATTTTAGCTGTATCCTTGGTATTATTAGGGGTTCTAAGTGTACACTCCTGCTCCCCCGTTTCTGACTGCATTATTTGCAGACCCGTCTGTGTAAACATGAACCCAAAGATCCTGAGGGGATTCAGCATCAATTAGACTGAGGGTGGCTGTTTTACTCTATTTTGTTCTTTCTGGTCCTATCACTTTTATCACTTTTGTCTTGATATATATTGATAACTTATACTCCTCTCTCCGGGTCTATCAGTTGGCAGATCAGTGGTTTGGCCTTTTGAATGAAACTGCTTCTCCTTAGTCGCCCCATAGCTAAATTTTTTAATCTTTCATTCATATGATGACTTGGCATGCTAAGAAACTTGTCTGCTTCTATTAGCATCTTGGTGTCTCTGCGTTAACTCACTGCTTGGATCATCCCCATTTTCTCCATCACGGCTATAGGTGTTGATTTCATACTGACGGTGGTCACTCTGAGTACTTGGTTTTTGCACTTTGTCTAATTCTTTTAGTGCGATTTTTGATGCCGAACTCCATGCTGTTGATCTGTATTCAAAGTGGGTTCGAACGCTTTGTTGGTAAACTTTCCTAAGTATTTTCCCACTAGCACCCTAAGTGGTCCACTTAGTTTTCTTAGGATCGCTACCCTCCTTCAGGCATTTGTTGCTGTCTTGTTGCTGTGTTTTCTCTATTTTAGCCTGTCGCCAAACGTGACTCTGAGGTCTGTGAGCTCCGTATAACGCCTGATTTTAGTTTTGGAGAGAGGGTGAAGAAGGTGGTGCTACATTTGCCTATGTTGATGCTGACACATCATTTATCAGCCCATGCAGTCACTACATCTATGACCCGTTGTAGCATTCTATTGGTCATTAATACACTATAGTACAAAGACATCAGCATACATTGCAGTTTTAATTCCGAAGGTTATTTCATAAACTAGGTCATTGATAGAGATTAGAAAGAGTGTGGGGGACAGGACACCTCCTTGTGGGACACCATAGCGCAGCAAAACTTTCTCACTCTTGAGTCCATCTATCTGTACACGGACTCTTCTGTTATACAAGTATGCTTTCACCCATTTGTACATATTCATATTATACTTGTTTGACATGTGTGTCTGCTTGTTAACAGATATTGTTGAACACACACACACTTACACACATAGATATAAAACGTCTCATTTTGAATGGCTGTGTGCTAACAGATAGTGGGCACTCTACTCTCCGTGACGGCAATGATGACACAGAATTCGACAGTATCAGTACACTCAGTGAATCAAGACGAGGCCGGCGACCCTCCATTCCCCATCCGAGTTTACGAGCACAGACAGAATATGTAAGAGCACATTTAACATTGTTGTCACACTTGTCCCTGTCTTGGCTACCTAAGTGTATCACTTTTTTGTTACGCTGACTGCTGCTCTCTGAACTGTTGTGTTATGTGATCTGTCTGTTCTTCTGTATAGTCGTCAAAACTGATCAGTAAGTGATAGCTGAAGAAACTTTAAGAAGAGATGTGGTTTTAGATCAATTTTGAAAATAATGAAGATGTTAAGATTTACGTATCTTATCAGGTTAATCATCATAATCACAATAATAGGATGTGAAACAGTCTAGACAGATAGAATACAACTGGAATTTATAGTAGACATATAGAAGCAGCTAGTCTTAACAAGGTTGACATACTTGGGATTGGAATGGAGCAGAGATCTGGCACGAAGAAAATGTGCTGCAACCGAGTGTGCTAAAGGTGTGAGATCTTTTTCTGAAATTACTGGCTTCTCTCCCTTGGGTAAAACACTGATGCTTCGACTTACTGAAAATCTAGAAGAACAAACGTGAACTGAAATTGTGCAAAAAAGAGTTTGGGCACTAAAAATCAAAGACAAAATTTTAAAAATGGAGAGAGTGAAGGTGTTGTCGCAGAAGATTGGAAAGGCACAGCTGGCTAGGGAGCACAAGGAACATCCACATCAGTTTGAACTCTGTTAGGCAATAAAACATGTCACATGTTACCAAAAAAAAAAAAAAAAAAACACAGAGACCTGCTCCATACTAAGAACAAGAAAAAGATATCATGTGATACATTTCGATAACTTATTTTCCTGGACAATATATGTTGTTTATAAACTACTTGTGTATTTTCATATTACAAATGTATTCCCTTACGCTTGATTCTTAAACCGTTCTTCATCTGCGGTGCTTGTGTCTACAGCCTGACTCTCACGAGGAAATGGACACTGATGTAGAGAGACCAGACAGTCCAGAAGATGATACATGCCGATATCACGCCAAACGTTCTCCGTCTGCGGGCAGCAAAGGCTCCGGCCGAAGTCCACGCTCACTGGGCAGAGACGAGTCCGTGTTTAGCCAGACCTCGAGGTCCAGCAAGGGCTCTATACGGCGGCAGCTTCCTTCGATACCCACAAGAGATGTAAGTTTCACACATAAAGACAATGAATTCAAGCTGGTCAAATATTTTACCGATTACCACACGCTGTATGTTCTCATAATATCGACACAGGTGTGACATAATTTATTTATCTAAGGAATATATCAAGAAATACATAGGCTCCATATTAAAAGTTACACAATCCGAACTGGTAAATATTTTACAAAGGACAGCTTCATAATCTCTAAGATTAGTGAATGAAAAATGAATACTTGCGACACAAATTATTGACGACGAAAAGCTTATTGTAGCTTATCTGTAGACGTCTGATTGATCTGTGCTCAACTTACAGGGAAATCAGGGATCCTACTCATACTACAGACGCATTGGGAATCGGTGTTTGGTTTATATTGTTTAGTTAGACCAGTCAGCACTTATTGTAGGCTGTACAAGCTGGTGTAAACAGCTGTCTGGGGTAGCAATGAGATGCAACCAGCGTCTGGAGGAGCCATTAAATGTAACCAGCTGTCTGGGGAAGCCATGGGATGTAACCAGCTGTCTGGAGGAGCCATGAAACGTAACCAGCTGTCTGGGCGAGCCATGCGATGTAACCAGCTGTCTGGGGAAGTCATGAGATGTAACCAACTGTCTGGAGGAGCCATGAAACGTAACCAGCTGTCTGGGCGAGCCATGCGATGTAACAAGCTGTCTGGAAGAGTCATGAGATGTAACCAACTGTCTGGAAGAGTCATGAGATGTAACCAGCTGTCTGGAAGAGTCATGAGATGTAACCAACTGTCTGGAGGAGCCATAAAACGTAACTAGCTGTCTGTGGGAGCCGTGAGATGTAACAAGCTATCTGGGGGAGCCATGAGATGTAACCAGCTGTCTGGGGGAGCCATGAGATGTAACCAGCTGTCTGGGGGAGCCATGAGATGTAACAAGCTATCTGGGAGGGGGGAACCAGATGTAACCAGCTGCCTGGGGAGCCATGAGATGTAACAAGCTGTCTGGAAGAGCCATGAGATGTAACCAGCTGTCTGGGGTGGGGGGGGGGCATGCGATGTAACCAGCTGTCTGGGGAAACCATGAGGTGTAACGAGCTGTCTGGGGGACGGGGGGGGGGGGGGTAGAAAACCACCAGATTTACCAGCTGTCTGAGTGAGCCATGAGATTTAAACAACTATCTGGGGGAGCCATTATATGTAACCAGCGGTTTGGGTGAGCCATAGATTTACCCATCTGTCTGGAAAAAGGAAGGGGCTGGAGACACAGGGTCTATTGACAAGCATGATAATCTTTTAGGTAAAGCTGGAGTCAGAGAAGAACCGCAACTCTAAATTATACGAGTTTCTCTGTTAGCGTTCTGAGAAACGACCATCTGTGTGAACAAGAACGTTTTCCATTAGCATAACTCGGCTGCAGTCTCTTGCTAATGAAATACTGAAAACTCGCGGCGGTGACGTTACCATTTAGAGGTATGGTGTCAGTCAGTTTGTAGATGCAGGGCTGAACTATGACCCCGGGACATGCCTGTCTCCTCATGGGTCTAGCATAAGTCTCGCACTCTCCAGTAGTTTGTGGACCTAGGGGAGGGGAGCAAGACCTCGGTAACACAATACCTGTTGAGATGTTGTTGGTTTACTTGTTGGAATAGAAGTATTGCCACGAAATGCTCAAATCCTTCATCTGCTGGGACAATCAAGCGTACCTAAGAGTTCAAACTCTTTCTTCGAGAGATGTCATAACCAACTAACCAATCACCTTAGCCAACCGCAACTAACGAACATAGCCTGACCCACCCAGCCAGCTTTTTTCAGGTTTATTGTGTCCCCTACAATTTCTAGTACCAGTTTTAGTTTAATCAAACCACCCAAGGTTAAAGTTCTACCCAAGTATTTCAGTATCCTCGCCGGTGCTACAGAGCCTGTGCACTGTGCTAAGCTTCTTCAGACTCAGACTTCAGTTACAAGACGAACGGAGCGATTATAGGTTATTACCCGTGTGCCATGGTGTTGATCCGTTGTTCAAAAACCCTTAAACCACTCCACTGTTTCATGCTACTGTGTCTTCTTCGACAGCCGCAGGTGCCCGTCTCCATCAGCGTGTCCCGGGAACCTGAGCGCATGTACAAGTTGGCCCTGGCTGGAGATGCGGCTGTGGGAAAGTCTAGTTTCATTGTTCGGCTGTGTAAGGGGAAGTTTGCCCCCAACCTCAGCTCCACACTCGGTTAGTCTGTGTTTGTGTGTCTGCATTCTCACATTTGTTGTATAATAAGCAGAAGTAACAGTTCATAGGGAACACTCTAGACCAGTTGAATAACATATACATATTTGAAGAAATCAGTATAACTGCGCGCATTAGATGCCTAGTTGGCGGTGTACCGACCTGAGCTGGTTAACTCTGTTCCTATATAGGACGCATTTTGTGTGTGTGTTTTTTCAAAGCACCACCCCAAGTGTCGTCGGGAGCACTAATATAAACTTACGGTTGAACGGGGTTTCTAGAATTGTGCCCTGGTGATTATCATCCAAATAGTGACACTTTGGGTTACTGGGTGTTCTATCGCTATTTGTGCGGTCCTAGTGGGGTTGAACGTCAGTCACTGAGCTTGTTCTTTAAACGTGTCGCTGTCCTTATTTGAGGTTGCAGGTTGCAATCTCAGTATAGCTATATCGCTGTAATGTTACCCTTGTCTAGTTTGTTTGTTTGTTTTAGTATCCAGAAGCCATATTATGGATATCGCAATCTTTCGGCCTTGATTCCATGATAAATACCGTAAATCTGGGAGAAATGTAGCTTTTCTGCCTACTCCGGGAGTGAACCCGGACCACAAGGAGTTCGTCACTCGGTCACCGCGCAATCCAGTTTAACCAACTACGCTAGAGAGCCGGGCTCCCTGTCTAGTAGACCCACGTATTTTTACACGTTACATTTTGCAAACTGCTGTACAATCATTAAAGCCACTCGAGGAATTTTTCTATTCTGCCCTTTAATAGTTATCAGCACAGCACTCCTGATACGTCCATATTTGCTTTCATATTTTATTAGCTGACGTAAGAGTTTTATACAATGGTTCAGAATGTGAAGTGCACACTAAAAATGGTCCAAGTGAGGGGTTTTTGGGGGAAAACTGGAGTGAAATAGGCTGCATTCTACTTCCTTTCTTGTTAAGAGTAGCCACTGATTGTGTAATGAAAACATGCTTCAAAGGCAATATTGGCATTGACTGGGCAGAGAAAAGACACCTGGAACATCTAGATTTCGCAGATACTATTGTTTTGCTAAGTACAATTAACAAAGACGTGTGAAGAAAAACAGACGATTTTTCTTCCAAAACATCAAAAATAGGACTACAAATAAGTAACAAGAAAACAAATATATTGAAGATACAAACAACAGATCATGTAGATGTCGTGCTGGAAAACAACCAATAAAAGTAACGAGCCATTTAACCTTTTTGGGTAGCAATTTTGACTCTCAATGAGATGCAACAAAGGCGAATTATGATACGCATTGGCAAAGCAACAAAAATATTTTTTCAACCCTTATAAAAATATGGAGCACTAAGTTATACAGTTTTAAGACCAAACTACGAATCATCAGTTCTCCCGTTACTCTAATTCTAGCATATGGCAGCAAAAGTTGGAGAGCAACCAAGGATATGGAACGAAAGTTACAAGCATTTGCAAATAAATATTGAAGAAGAATCGTGTGGGATGAATTCAAAAAGAGTGAGGAGATCAGACAAATGTCTGGACAAATACCTGTGCGTGCCTACAATACGGCAAAGAAGGTGGAGAGATATTGGGAAAACTCAGAGACGAAATGAGCAAAGAATTACAAAACAAGCCCCTGGCTGTTGTGTGGTTTTCTAGGCAAATTTACGTCCATTAGTTTGCCATTGCTTCCTGGATAGTCGGCTTCTTCGATACAACTGTTGAAACCACTGCAAGGCGCATGGCCCGCAGTTGGGATCGAACACGGCATCCCGGCATTACGAAGCGTTCGCATTGATTTAGCCACATAGCAGACAATCACATAAGGGTACCACTTGTATTGCGACGACAGAACACGGGCCATTTTCTGAATCTACAATTCACAACACCACGTTGGTCACAGTCGAAAAACATTCCAAATGAAATTGGCAGCTGACAGGGTCACATTATGCACTCAACTCAGTAGCAGGGCTACGAAATTATATCCTTCCAGTTTACAAATGCAGCAAACATACAACGGCCACCGTTTGACAGAAGCCAAAACATTGCCACGACTTAAAACAGGGACCGTGCCTAGAGTCCATTTTGACTGGAGGTCAAGTGATGATATTATGTATATGTGTGTGTAAATATGTATGTATATATATAAATATATATACTATGTGTATGTGTGTGCGTGTGTGCATGTGTGTGAGTGTGTGTGTGATTTCACTAGTGGCAGTTGTGAAACATACTTAGTTGTATCAGTCCGTGTTCTTATCATTGATTAAACGGTCCCTAGTGCTGACGTGGAGTCGGTGACACTGTCATGAGTACTCACTAGACTGTGACACTGTCATGTGTACTCAGTACACTGTGACAATGTTACGTGTACTCACTAGACTGTGACACTGTCATGTGTACTCAGTACACTGTGACAATGTTACGTGTACTCAGTACACTGTGACAATGTCATATGTACTCAGTAGACGGTGACACTGTCATGTGTACTCAGTAGACGGCGACACTGGCATGTGTACTCAGTTGACTGTAACACTGTCATGTGTACTCAGTAGACTGTGACACCGTCATGTGTACTCAGTACATTGTGACAATGTTACGTGTACTCAGTAGACGGCGATACTGGCATGTGTACTCAGTAGACTGTAACACCGTCATGTGTACTCAGTAGACTTTGACACTGTCACGTGTACTCAGTAGACTGTAACACCGTCATGTGTACTCAGTAGACTGTAACACTGTCATGTGTACTCAGTACATTGTGACAATGTTACGTGTACTCAGTAGACGGTGACACTGTCATGTGTACTCAGTAGACGGCGACACCGGCATGTGTACTCAGTAGACTGTGACACTGTCACGTGTACTCAGTTAACTGTAACACTGTCATGTGTACTCAGTAGACTGTAACACTGTCATGTGTACTCAGTAGACTGTGACACTGTCACGTGTACTCAGTTAACTGTAACACTGTCATGTGTACTCAGTTGACTGTAACACTGTCATGTGTACTCAGTAGACTGTAACACTGTCATGTGTACTCAGTAGACTGTAACACCGTCATGTGTACTCAGTTGACTGTAACACTGTCATGTGTACTCAGTTGACTGTAACACCGTCATGTGTACTCAGTTGACTGTAACACTGTCATGTGTACTCAGTTGACTGTAACACTGTCATGTGTACTCAGTAGACTGTAACACCGTCATGTGTACTCAGTAGACTGTGACACCGTCATGTGTACTCAGCCAAACTAGTTTTCTCCTGTTTATAATTTTAGGAGTCGATTTCCAAACGAAAATGTTGGACGTGGATGGACATCCAATAGCCTTGCAGTTGTGGGACACAGCAGGCCAGGAAAGGTGAGTGCTGTCATGCTATCTATAGAAAAGCACAAACTTTTAGTCTTCAACAAGGCACTGTGGTCTTAGAGCACACCTACACAGGATAGGTATAACCGGATTTGCTGCCTATGGTTGGGGAGCAGAAAGACAAAACTCATGGCACATATTGCAGGACTGCCCTAAATACTCCCATTAACAATTGTTGATCTGACCTAAGAGAGCTACATAACAAGAGAAGCTGTGGGAGACCGGCAGCGACAGTGGACTCGCGATCCTATTTGCTATCCATACGAGACTAAATGTTTAACATCTAGCGAAGTTGGTTTAACCGGACTTTCGCGGCGGCCGGGTGACGAACTCCTTGTGGTCCGGGTTCACTCCTGGGGGTAGGCAGAAAAGCCACATTTCTCCCAGATTAACGGTACCTATAATGGAATCAAGGCCGAAGGGTTGCGATATCCGTAGTACCGAGTCAAAGGGTTTACAACTCATGGTTTCTGGATACGTTAAAAAAAAAAAAAAGCATCGCTGATGTCGAACACAGAAGAAAAAGATCCTATCCAAACAAATGTATACTGCTTGTGTTTTATTACATATCTGTAATTTTTTTCCACAGTGTGTTTTCATACAATTTAAATAATGTGTAAATGTATTTCCACAAAACGTTTGTAACTATATGCGATGATCAAAGGCACAGAGACATGGGAACAGTCCTGATATGAGCAAGTGTACGGGGGAGGGGGTTGTGGGGGGGGGGGGGGGGTCGTAACCGGTGCAAAGGGGCTCAAAGGGTGAAACAATTGTTATAAAACAAGGCACCTAACTAGAAAAAAAAGTTTTCTTAGTAATTAATTAGTATGGCTTGTACGGGTAGGGTCAGCTCTATCAAGAGGAGAATTAAGGCTTCCCCTTGTCTCCGCTAGCCGGTGGTTAACCTCAGAGGCAGGGGGTAGAGGCTCCCCCCTCCCTCTTTTCCCTATCATGGTTAGGTGGAGTCACGACATGCAGGGGATGGATAAACATAGTGAGCAGCGGAGAAGTTTTCAGTACCAGCCTCTGCTAGACTGAGGATGTCTCTATGGGCACAATGGCTAGGACAACCGGCCCAGTAGGGGCACTGCACTCACTGAAAGGAATTGCAACTTACCTTGAGTATTTTGCACAGAAAAGTCGCATCTTTACAGTGTAGTTCACTATGCACAAATAAAAAGAGTATGATAAGGTGAAAGTCGAGAGAAACGGTTTTATCCCATGTGGCTAGGTATCTCGTCGCAGAACGGTTAGTCGCCTGCCGATAGCTTCGCACAGAATAGATCACGGTAGCTCCGGCGACGATCCACAGAACTGAACGGCGCCGTGAAAAAAACCCATGACCTTTAGAGCGCGAGGCAAACGGCTTGACTGCTTCTTCCCGGAGATCCCCCAGAGGAAGATGAAAAGAGTAATGAAGATGTTCTGTAAGAAACTTTACTCACAAAGAGAACTGACTGCACTCTACATTTTCCCGCCATGTCGTGAGGGGAAAATTAGAGTACTTCGTGTCGGTGAGAAAGATAAATAGGAAAAGAGGCAGAGGGAGACCGAGAGAGAACATGCTGGACACCTTTCTTCTTCTTCTTCTTCTTCTTCGTTCACCTGTTTTTCGTCCATTTGATCTTTGGCTTTGTGCCAGGGCCTGAGTTGTTGCTTGTACATCCGTTTACTGGCTTATTTGTGTGCAACTGGCTGTTCTAGCCGCTCAGGCAGATGCACTCAGACTTCAAGGGAAGTCCTCAATTGGGTGACTCCAACTACCTGCTTGTTGGGGAGACAGTGGGTCTATTCTTATTTCCCCACGATGGGGATGATAATAATTCTCTCGGTGGCCCTATCTGGAGGTTAGGCATTTTGAGCTAGTCAGACAATATGTGGCCTGCTCCTCCCCCACCCCTACATGTTTTATTCTTAGCGGCGCGCCTGACCAGGATGATGACCCACACAGTTACAACAAAGCAAAAACATAGGCTACGTTGATGACTCTCTTGCCGTCCTGGGGCCTTGGTAAATACGCACAGGTAAACTAGGCAGATCTCTCCCTTCACGACTGGATCCTTACCCCCCCCCCCTCCCCCTACCCATTTCTTCCCCAACAGCTCATATTCTTGTACAATGTGGACAGTGAAGTGAAAATAACAGCTGGCACCAACGCGAGGTGAGAAGTTGTTGGCGCCTGCAGATTGGATTCAAACACACCGGAATGTACAAGCTGCAGTCATACCTTTTGATCATTCATTTATTTATTCATGACAATCCATGGTTACACAATAAGTTAACAGTTCCAAGTACATTGTAACAATACATCTATGGTACACTGTGATATATATGCTACAGTGTAACAACACATCTATGGTACACTGTGATATATATGCTACAGTGTAACAATACATCTATGGTACATTGCAACATCTAAGCTACAATGTGACAATACATCTATGGTACATTGCAACATCTATGCTACAATGTGACAATACATCTATGGTACATTGCAACATCTATGCTACAATGTACCATAGATGTATTGTTACACTGTAGCATATATATAAACACCTAAACATCTATGGTACATTGCAACATCTATGCTACAGTGTGACAATACATCTATGCTACAGTGTGACAATACATCTTTGGTGCAGGTTTCGTAGCGTAGCCAGAACTTACTTCCGACGAGCTGATGGCGTGTTCTTGTTATACGATGTCACATATGAGAGATCGTTTCTCAATCTCCGTGACTGGGTCGATGCAATCAAGGTAAAGCCGCCTTTATAGTTTTAGTTGTGCATTTCTAATTTTCTTGTGTTTATCCTTGTTAATATTGAATAATGTCACCAATTACCATCCATGTCAGCAGTTTATGTTACAGATGTTCATTCCCAGGAGACAGTCACAACCATGGGCGCTGTTGCATTCAATCCGTTGTCATCCCGGAGACAGTAACAACCATTGACACTGTTGCATTTGATCCGTTATCATCCTGGAGACTGTCACAACCATGGACACTGTTGCATTTGATCCATTGTCATCCTGGAGACAGTCACAACCAAGGGCACTGTTGCATTCGATCCGTAGTCATCCAGGAGACAGTCACAACCATGGACACTGTTGCATTCGATCCGTCTTCATCCAGGAGACAGTCACAACCATGGGCACTGTTGCATTTGATCCGTCGTCATCCAGGAGACAGTCACAACCATGGACACTGTTGTATTCGATCCGTCGTCATCCTGTAGACAGTCACAACCATGGACACTGTTGCATTCGATCCGTCTTCATCCAGGAGACAGTCACAACCATGGACACTGTTGCATTCGATCCGTCTTCATCCAGGAGACAGTCACAACCATGGACACTGTTGCATTCGATCCGTCTTCATCCAGGAGACAGTCACAACCATGGACACTGTTGCATTTGATCCGTCTTCATCCAGGAGACAGTCACAACCATGGACACTGTTGTATTCGATCCGTCGTCATCCTGGAGACAGTCACAACCATGTGCACTGTTGCATTCGATCCATCGTCATCCTGAAGACATTCACAACCATGGGCACTGTTGCATTTGATCCGTCGTCATCAAGGAGACAGTCACAACCATGGACACTGTTGCATTCGATCCGTCGTCATCCTGGAGCAGTCACAACCATGGACACTGTTGCATTTGATCCGTTGTCATCCTGGAGACAGTCACAACCATGGACACTGTTGCATTTGATCCGTTGTCATCCTGGAGACAGTCACAACCATGGGCACTGTTGCATTCGATCCATCGTCATCCAGGAGACATTCACAACCATGGGCACTGTTGCATTTGATCCGTCGTCATCAAGGAGACAGTCACAACCATGGACACTGTTGCATTCGATCCGTCGTCATCCTGGAGCAGTCACAAACATAGGCACTGTTGCATTCGATCCGTAGTCATCCTGGAGACAGTCACAACCATGGACACTGTTGCATTCGATCCGTCGTCATCCTGGAGCAGTCACAAACATAGGCACTGTTGCATTCGATCCGTTGTCATCCTGGAGCAGTCACAACCATGAACACTGTTGCATTCGATCCGTTGTCATCCTGGAGACAGTCACAACCATGGACACTGTTGCATTCGATCCATCGTCATCCTGGAGACAGTCACAACCACAGGCACTGTTGCATTCAATCCGTCGTCATCCAGGAGACAGTCACAACCATGGACACTGTTGCATTCAATCCATCGTCATCCCGGAGAAATTCATAACTATGGGCCTTGTGGCATTCGATCTATCGTCAATCTACTTCAATAATTTCTTTGTTATATCATCATCGTCGTCAACATCTCTTTATGAAAGCTTTGCCCTATAAGAAATTTTAAATAGCTGGTAGAGCTTTTTTTGACGCTGCCTGCTTGCTAATCCGTTTTATTGTCTTTGATGCCACCATAAGATGCGACCTTTGTTAGACTGTAGTGTAATGTCAGTAACTGGCTTTTAGAGCCTGAATGTCTGACAGTGAGTGAGTCTATGTGGAAAACCCTCCTGCCTGCAGAGGTTTGCAGCTTATTCATGCACTGTGTTGCCATCAATAGGACTTTGAGGTCTGTACTGAAGTCGGAGCAAGTTTGTCCTGTTGGAGGCTGTCAGGGACACAGTAGCATCTCGGGGTTATTGTAAACACCTACTTTACTATTCGTCGTTATAACGTTTGCTGATCAATCTGTGCAGATTCTCGTCCAGCCGTCCTGTACATGCTGTTGAGTTGGTGTTTATCTTCTTTGTTAAATTACGTTCAATATCTTGTTTTTCCAGTTAGAGAATGAAGTGTGAAACATTTAGCCACTGATTCAAAGTCCCAGCGATCAAAGAATAACTCTTCTGGTGTGCGGTGTTAGTGTATTAGTGAACAGTTTAATTTTCCTCACTCTTTTACTTGATGTTGAAACTGTTATTCCTGTTTTTTTCCCCCTCGTCCAGGCTGCAAGTTTTTTTTTAAAACTCTTTGAGTCCCAAGGAACGCATCATACGTTCATAGATTCCTATCTAGAAGCCCAATGAACGCAAGATGCGCCAATTTTATTACTTTCTTTACTACTCACTGGGCCTGTAATGCTAAACCTCCTGGGACTCAAAGAGTTAATGGCTGCGCTTCATTTCTGTTCAGCATGTATAATTGCTGATGAGAGTTCATGGTGACAATCTATGTCTACTTCTTTGAGTGCTAAGTTTAAAAATTGGCTTAGGCGCCCATGTCGACACAGCTTTAAAAACAACATGAGGAAAATTTCTGGAAAGTAAAGGCGGTCAGTATAGCATAAAATGTATCACATTTCGAGAGTTGATTACTCTGTCAAAATACCAAGAAAGTACTGCAGGCCATGACTTGACGGATGTATGAGATCACTTGTCTGCTAGACAAGTCCTCAATAACCACGTCATCTTACAGTGCCAGTCCTCAGTAACCACGTCATCTTACAGTGCCATTCCTCAATAACCACGTCATCTTACAGTGCCATTCCTCAATAACCACGTCATCTTACAGTGCCAGTCCTCAGTAACCACGTCATCTTACAGTGCCATTCCTCAATAACCACGTCATCTTACAGTGCCAGTCCTCAGTAACCACGTCATCTTACAGTGCCAGTCCTCAATAACCACGTCATCTTACAGTGCCATTCCTCAATAACCACGTCATCTTACAGTGCCAGTCCTCAATAACCCCGTCATCTTACAGTGCCATTCCTCATTTGTAAACTGTTGTTTTCTCTTTCAGACAGAGAGCAAGGTAGATCTAAGGGGGATTATTTCAGTGACCAGGCACAGGGTTTACATTTGAACATTTATCTTTACATCTGGCGGGTGTTGTTATTTTTATTCTGTTAACTTTAAAAACTATACCATATTTATTGGCGGTCCATAAATGTATCACAATTTCAGCTAATTACTTTCTGTTTATTAGATTTACTAAATAAATAGTAATAAACAGATCTTACTAACATTAATTTACTAAAAACAATTTACTATATACATTTTTACTTAACTCGTTTTACTATACATGTAATCAAGCCACCCCTTTGTGGGATGCAAATTTTCGTTATTTCAAAACCTATTCTGGCACTTGACAGGGGCCGCAATATATGGCCATAATTATGATCTAATTGCTGAACGCGGTTTCTGGGACCTCTCCACGGGTGATCCTCATCCACATGGTGGCACTTTGTGTCATCGGGTGTTTATCACTTGTGTTATGTCCTGGTGGGGTAAAAGAAAATAGATAGATAGATTTTACTATAATCAATTTTCTGAATACCAGTCACTGAATACATTTTATTATATGCCTCTTTTTTTTTTTAACCACATGCGTTTTACTATGTATACATGTCTTCCACTTCTTCTTCGCGTTCACCAGCTGTAAACTCTGGCGAAAAGTTCTGGTTGTTCATCCACCATTTCAGGACTACAGTCCTGTTCCATAACCTGAGTGTTGCATGGGCATTCGTTTTACAGATCTGACTTATCTGTATGCAGACTGCCGGCTACATGCCTCTCAGCCAGATGCACTCCGACTTTAAAGGAAGCTCTCAATAAGTCGACTCTTACGACATTCTTTTGGGTAGGCAGGGGGTCTATTCTTGTTTCCCCCTAAAATAGAGCCCAGGAACCCACATGTGGATATGTATACATATAATTGCCTAAATACCTTCAACTATTTGCCTGAACTGTGGGACAAACTCTTTACAGCACTCCTAATTTATTGTAGCTCACTAACTGTACACCGTGGGATATTCAACAAACACTGTGGCACACTAATTATTAGTTTGGGGTATTAGGGATATTGTGTGGCACAGTAATTATACACTATAGCACAGTAATTATACACTATGGCACAGTAATTATACTCTATAGCACAGTAATTGTACATTATAGTACAGTAATTATACACTATAGCACAGTAATTGTACATTATAGTACAGTAATTATACACTATAGCACAGTAATTGTACACTATGGCAAAGTAATTATACACTATGGCACAGTAATTGTACACTATGCCACATTAATTGCACACTGTGGCACAATACTTGTACACTGTTGCGCAGTAATTATACACTATGGAACAGTAATTATACACTAGAGCACAATAGTTGTACACTGTGGCACAGTAATTATACACTGTAGCACAGTAATTATACACTATGGCACAGTACTTGTACAATATGGCACAGTAATTGTACATTATGACACAGTAATTGTACCCTATGGCACAGTAATTGTACCCTATGGCACAGTAATTGTACAATGTGGCACATTAATTATACACTATAGCACAGTAATTGTACACTGTCGCATGTAATTATACACTATGGCACAGTAATTGTACATTATGACACAGTAATTGTGCACTATGGCACAGTAATTATACACTATGGCACAGTAATTGTACCCTATTGCACAGTAATTGTACATTTATCATCATTGTCCTGTCGCTCCATTTTTTTCACATAGGGCTCACTGTCAAGCGCCCCCCCCCCCCCTCCACCACCCCCATTTCGTTGTGTCCTGTGCAATCAGTTGCATGTCATGGAGGGAATCTTCTCCTGCATCTTCAGACTCTTATCAAAGTTATTTTAGAGTTGGTGGAGGCGTTCTCGCCTATTTGAGTCTGGTATTAATTATACAACGTGTACCAACACATGTGTTCTGTGGGAAATTATTTTTACACTGTGGGACATTTATTGTATCATGAGAACATTTATTGTAAAACGTGTTACATTTAGTTTACACGGAGGGACACTGCGTGGTATTATACACCGTGAGATATTAACCATATACCATGGGATAATAACCATATACCATGGGACATTAGCGATACACCATGGGACATCAACCATACGCCGTGGGACATTACCGATACGCCGTGGGACATTAATGATACGCCGTGGGACATTAACGATACACGGTGACACATTAATGATACCCCGTGAGACATTCATGAAATATCGTGACACATTACGATACGCCATGGGATATTATTGATACACGGTGACACATTAATGATACACAGTAAGACATTAACGCTACGATACATCTGGAACATTAACAATACACCGTGAGACATTAACAATACACCATGGGACATTACCGATACAATTTAATTACATTAATGACACACCGTGGACATTAACGATACGATTCAATGTGGGACTTTACCGATACACCGTGGGACATTAACGCTATATATAATTTAGAAAAAAAAAATGATTGCTTCCTTTTTTGGTGTGTATTGGTACCTTTTCGAACAAAATTGTGTACTAGTCCCCAAAATGTTTCGGCAGCCCTGGTTCCTAGTTGTTGCTCCGCGGAACAGATCTCAGAGGTCAATGATGTCATCAATTTAAAAAAAAAATTGTCAACTTATGTTTTTGCGTATGGTGCGATTCTAATTTCGATTTGCTCTGTCTTTTTTGTTTTTGTTTAAATATGAGTGAGTATAAACAATTATAGGGTCTGTGGCAGACCACAACCCAAAAAAAAAAAGGGGGGGGGGGGGGGGGGGGGTGTGGATCTGATCTCAATGGGAGAAAACTGAAAGTATCCATTTTACTTAGTTATTACTTTCTTGAAGTAGACTTCTCCCCCGTTAAAGTGGTATTCAAACATCTGTACAGAACTGAAGGCTTCCTTTTCCACGCCTCAAGGCGTTTAGATATATATGGCTGGACTAATGTTTTATAGACCAATCGGTACCTGGTTGGTGATGTAGCTAGCGTGATGCCCACAGCCTTTAGTTCCCATTACTTCATCTTTTACCCATTTAAGTTTAAGGCAGGGTTGCCCGGGAAACCAGGGTTGCCTTTGAAAGAGAAAAAAAGAAGTCCGGCACGAACCCACGGCCTTTAGATCCGCAGGCCAGCGTCGAGCCGCTACACCACGGTGGCTTCCTGATTACAGAAGTAGCTTCTGCTACCGATAGCCGTTACCTTCTGACGTTCAGCTCTGGAGAAGGCTACTCGCTACAAGGCTACTCTTTGCCAAGCTGAACTGTCAAAGTGGCTAACATCCCAAAGTCACGCTATAGATCGACGTCACATGTTGCCCTTCAGTTGCTCTACATCTAGATGGTCGAAAATCTCAGTACCGGGAATCTATATAAATATAAATTTTTGGTTTGTATGGGAACTACTCGGTACAGGTTGTTGGTTAAAGTAACGTGAATCCCCTCTTAATATAATACTTCATTTTGCATTCACAAGTTTGTTGTGCTGGTCGACTTTCCTGAAGATTATAAGTGTTCCACTCTATTGTTTGCTTTCTGCGGTGTCTTGCATTTACGGTTTCATTCCAAGAAAAAAGTGCATGTGACACAGGTTGCAGCTTTCTCTAGGAAAGGGGGGGTGGGTTGTGTTAGGACCAGTTGCTCCATGTTTTTGAAGCTTTAAAAAGGCTGGAGTGCTGAAATATACAACACGCGATATCAACGGTATCACGGAACACCCCCGTAACCTTGTACGAAGGACACGAGGCTCAGGAACTACCAATCAGAAGTGACCTAATGTGTATATTGACGGGCCTGGGGAGATCAACGTTACTCTTACTCAGGTTGTGAACTACTAGGACTTACCTGGCTATATACTGTTTCTATAGGTGAGTGCCATGTATGTGATGCAAGCAATTGTTATGTACAGTAATGAGACTGTGATTCTGTTTGCTTGTGTGCAGGAAGGATCTCTAAAGAAGATACCAATCATGTTGGTGGGAAACAAAACCGATGCCCGGTCTGAGCTTGAAGGCAAGGGAAGGCGAGTGGTCAAGTATGAAGACGGCTTGCGGCTGAGCAGAGTGAGTGGTGTGGGTTTGTGCTGTCTGGTGAACTTTTCCAATTAATATAAGCAGCAACAACAACAACAAGTAAAAAAGTGTGAGTTTCCACGATCCTTTCCTGGTTGGATGTGGCTATGGAGTCAGTCGGATGTCCAAGGCTAGCTCCACATCTTCCCCCGTACAACACATAACTCACTCCATTTAGGATCACCTTTAATTGGCGGTGTCCCACTAATTGCCGTTGTCCCACTAATTACCGTTGTCCCACTAATTACCGTTGTCCCATTAATTTGCCGTTGTCCCACTAATTACTGTTGTCCCACAAATTGCCGTTGTCCCACTAATTACCGTTGTCTCACTAATTGTCATTGTCATACGATAAGCTGTTGTAACATTAATTGCCATTGTCCCACGATAAGCTGTTGTAACACTAATTGCCATTGTCCCACGATAAGCTGTTGTCACATTAATTGCCATTGTCCCACGATAAGCTATTGTAACACTAATTGCCATTGTCCTACGATAAGCTGTTGTAACACTAATTGCCACTGTCCCACTAAAAGCTGCTGTCCCACTAATTGCCGTTGTCCCACTAATCACGGCGTGGTGCTTGATCGACCTGTATGTTACAATCGCCATTCCATGGGCTTCTGGCGAAGGTGAAACCTGCGACATTGGACTCCCCAACAAGATTTCAAGCACCCTGTTGCAAGTGGCTGTGGTCGGCAGGTTGTTAGATGCTTAGTATACTCACGGCCATCTTTAGATAGAAAGATACACATGGGCGTGGTATACTATACCCCCCCCCCCCCCCCGAAAGATCTAAAATCAAAGACAAACAAACCAGAGGTCCTTTCTCAAGGGACGGCAAACACCCATGGTGTTCATTAGGCACGACATCCCCGGAAGTGTTTCAGTTCTAGATAAAAACACGTTCAAAGCTTAGAAGTAAAACAACGCTGTTCTGATTCGTTTGTGCGAGTTGACGTTTGCGTGTGTGTGTTTGTGTGTGCAGGTTTGTATATATGTGTGTGTGTGTGTGTGTGTGTGCGTACAGGTGTGTGTATGTGTGTGTCTGCTGACCAACGTGTATATGCGATTACAAATCTGCACATCCTGCCATCCCTAAAAGCATTCATCGATTTCTTTTCTGAAACATTTTCCTCCCATGTCATACGACTGACGCAACTCTTCTCTCTGTCTTCCTCTTTCATCTTTATCACAAATATTTCCAGTTATCGCAACTGCTCCAGTTTTTCTCATCTTGTATTTAATGCGGCCTTTAAAGATGGCTGCTTCTCTCTGATGTCTCTGTCAAGATTTCATAAAATCTAATGTAAATATATTTTGCATATTTCAGGAAATTGACGCCCTCTTCATAGAAACAAGCGCCAAAAATGGGACGCACGTTACGGAGGCAGCAGTAGAACTCACCAGGTCAGTTGTATGTTGTACACACGTGATTTGTTGCTTCAATCGCCAGTCTCCACATCTGGCTATACCTTTGAGTACAGAAATTGAAGTATCTAGTCACATGAATAACATTTAGTGGTAGATGTATCACAGAAATAAAGAACAGAATAGGATAAGCCAAAACTACATTTTGTAAAATAAAGAACATTTTGTTCAACAAATCCCGTCATTGGAGGTTAGGAAAAGACTTCTCACATGCTATGTAAATCCTGTTGTAACATACGAAAGTGCATCCTGGACAATTAATAAACAAGCCGAACAATTTCTTGAGGCTCGGAGATGTTCTTTTACAGAAGAATCTTAAAATTCGTGATAGCCACACACAAACACACACACACACACGCACACACACACGCACGCACGCACGCACGCACACACACACACACACAAAGAGCAACCTTGATGTTCTGAAAGAAACGACCTCTCGAAGAAATCTTATCACAAATATCAAATACAGACAATCGCCATTTTGTGGTCATGTTATGAGAAAAAAGGAAAATGGAATATGTTGTGATCACGGGAAAGATCTGCGGAACCAGAGACAGAGAAAGAGAGTGAGAGATAATTCTGGACAGCTTTTTATAATGGCATGAAGGAGTGTCAAGAAACCAACTGATACACGCAGTTCCGGATCGCAGATTGCAGGGAGGCCAGTCGGCAAGGCACATGATGATAATGGTTACACATTTACGCTAATCAAAATAAGAGTTTAGCATGATTTACCTAATCAAATAAGAGTTTAGCATGATATACCTAATCAAATAAGAGTTTAGCGTGATATACCTAATCAAATAAGAGTTTAACATGATATACCTAATCAAATATGAGTTTAGCATGATATACCTAACCAAATATAATTTAGCATGATATACCTAGCCAAATATGAGTTTAGCATGATATACCTAATCAAATAAGAGTTTAGCATGATATACCTAATCAAATAAGAGTTTATCATGATTTACCCAATCAAATAAGAGTTTAGCATGATATACCTAATCAAATAAGAGTTTAGCATAATATACCTAATCAAATAAGAGTTTAACATGATATACCTAATCAAATATGAGTTTAGCATGATATACCTAATCAAATATGTGTTTAACATGATATACCTAATCAAATAAGAGTTTAGCATGATATACCTAATCAAATATGAGTTTAGCATGATATACCTAATCAAATATGAGTTTAGCATGATATACCTAGCCAAATATGAGTTTAGCATGATATACCTAATCAAATAAGAGTTTAGCATGATATACCTAATCAAATAAGAGTTTAGCATGATATACCTAATCAAATAAGAGTTTAACATGATATACCTAATCAAATATGAGTTTAGCATGATATACCTAATCAAATATGTGTTTAACATGATATACCTAATCAAATAAGAGTTTAGCATGATATACCTAATCAAATATGAGTTTAGCATGATATACCTAATCAAATATGAGTTTAGCATGATATACCTAATCAAATATGAGTTTAGCATGATATACCTAATCAAATATGAGTTTAGCATGATATACCTAACCAAATATAATTTAGCATGATATACCTAATCAAATAAGAGTTTAGCATGATATACCTAATCAAATAAGAGTTTAGCATGATATACCTTGTCAAATAAGAGTTTAGCATGATATACCTAATCAAATATGAGTTTAGCATGATATACCTAATTAAATAAGAGTTTAGCATGATATACCTAATCAAATAAGAGTTTAGCATGATATACCTAATCAAATAAGAGTTTAGCATGATATACCTTATCAAATAAGAGTTTAGCATGATATACCTAATCAAATAAGAGTTTAGCATGATATACCTAATCAAATATGAGTTTAGCATGATATACCTAATCAAATAAGAGTTTAGCATGATTTACCTAATCAAATAAGAGTTTAGCATGATATACCTAATCAAATAAGAGTTTAGCATGATATACCTAATCAAATAAGAGTTTAGCATGATATACCTAATTAAATATGTGTTTAACATGATATACCTAATCAAATATGAGTTTAGCAAGATATACCTAATCAAATAAGAGTTTAGCATGATATACCTAATCAAATAAGAGTTTAGCATGATATACCTAATCAAATATGAGTTTAGCATGATATACCTAATCAAAATAAGAATTTAGCATGATATACCTAATCAAATATGAGTTTAGCATGATTTACCTAAGCAAATATGAGTTCAACATGAAAGCATCACATTGCTAGTGTTTTCATCACTTACAAATGCCAGTAACATCTGACCTGGAGGTCAAAGGTGAGAGCCCCATCGAAGCGGACTTTCAATGTGGACCGGGAATGCCACGTCAACCGAGTCTGAATGACGGTGAGGGGAAATTGTGAGTTGAGGTGAGTGGAGCTAAGAACCGATATCACAGCACTCGGAACTTTCCCGTAAACGCTCCTTCTCCAGCAGCCATAGCAGAGCTCTAGTTCTGATGGTACCAGTAACAGACTGACTGTATATGCGTCCGGTCTTCCCCCTGAGTGTGTTGACATTGGCCAGATGACCTGGCCACTTCACGCTGCATGGCTAATGAAGACGCCATTTTCAGAGGTACCTAGTGGGGTCATGTATTTTAGTACACTTGTTACCATAGCGAGGCTCACACGCCATTTGAAGTTGACAAGTTCGATTCTCGGCACAGTAACTACAGCTTTCGATGTTTATATTGTCTTATGTGTCCTTCTATCTTCCTACTTCTTTCAATGAGTGCCGATCAATACATTGACTGTTGGTTTATGATATATAGATGTGCATTTTCTGCAGAACATGGGGTTTCTATATATGCTTTAGCACTAGTCACTCGTTGCAGTGAAATATCATGAGAAGAAAAGGCTGTCATCGTGATATTTACCACGTCACCTACAGAATGACGATTGGTCGTTAAACTATGGGACTGCAAAAATATGCTCAATAAATCCGAGTGCATGCAATCAAGTACTTTGAATTTTCTTTCAGCAACATTGGGCAGATGTAGACTGCAAGGCAATCTTCTTCTGGGTATAAATAGTTTGAAGCACTTTTTTCCCCTTTGTGAATTTAAACAAAGAATACACACACAATAGATTGATCAAATTATTTTTAGGCTTTTTTTGCTGTATCTCGTAGGTTCAGAATTGTGCAAACAAAAGGATGTGATAATCGGTGTGCAGTTGCCCTGGTGAAATAGGTAGTATTTTGCTAATGTAGCAGATTTTGTGTTTCAATTAGAAGGGTTCATATATTTGTTTCGCTTGATTCAATTGATACTGTAATATGCACGGACGAGATACCACAAAATATGCCAAGTAATAAACTAGGCAATCAACTGTTCTATTGTCTGTGTCTTCTTCGTACATATTAAAAAATATATATATATATATATATGAACGTAGAATGTCACTACAGGAATACGAACTGTTACTTGGTGAATGTAAAAGTTCTGTTACAGATTGTGTCATTTGAAAGTGCTCGTGTATTTCCTGTTTCAGGCTGCTGCGAACAAATGAGGATCTAGAGGTGAAGACAGTTGGAATGCAACTTCAAGAAATGAGGGACAAAAAATCCAGCTCTTGTTGCAAGCGCTAGTAAACAAGACTGCGGAAAACATAAAATCTGATGATATTCTTAAATTAAACTTAAAAAAGTTATTTAAATTAGAATCGGCGTAATATTGTGGCCACATAAGACTTTTAGTTTAACATTTTTTATTTAATAAAACAGACTGTTCAAAATGATATTATACAAGAACACAGAGGGCTGCGGAATATTTGTAACTGTTATAACAAAACAGCGAATTTGTTTGTAATTAATAAAGGAAACTGCCATGTCCGTATAAAGACAGAATAAATGCAGTTTATATAAAGAACATTTCTCTGACCAGAGATATTGGCTAACATTTCAATTGCACGATCACCTCTCCCAAGTGCAGTGTAGCACGGATAAACTACAGCTTTTGTAACATCTCAGATTAGTTATAATAGCCAGGAATTATTAATTTAACATATTGATTTATTGATTTTCTTTAAATGGGGTGGATCTGCGACTTGATATAGCTGGGCGTATACGAACAATCCAGAATATAGATACGCCATAGATCTGCGACTTGATATAGCTGGGCGTAAGGGAACAGTCCACAATATAGCTAGGCCAAAGATCTGCTGAAATGTTAACAAATGTAAATATTGTCACTTGTGGTCGTAGCATTGCATTTATTTATGAATGACATGTTTCACATGTAGAATGACCTCTGGTGATCTACATACTGTTGTTACCTTAACTTGGACCGGTGAAGATTGTGCCTTGTTTTTCTGTGTACAGTGACTCCTTGGCCTTACTCTCATCATACGTGTGTTTGTTGAACCTAAGTGTTGTGTGTGTGTGTGTGTGTGTGGGTGTATATATATACAGTGACTCTTTGTCCTTACAGACTCTCAATATTCATATGTTTATTGTGTTTTGTGTGTGTGTGTGTGTGTGTGTGTGTACAGTGACTCCTTGGCCTTAGACTCTCATTATACATGTGTTTGTTGTATCTGCGTGTTGTGTTTGTGTGTGTGTACAGTGACTCCTTGGCCTTAGACTCTCATTATACATGTGTTTATTGTGTTCTATATGTGTGTGTGTGTGTGTGTGTGTGTGTGTACAGTGACTCATTGGCCTTACAGACTCTCATTATACATGTGTTTATTGTATCTGAGTGTTGTATGTGTGTGAGTGTGTGTGTGTGTATAGTGACACTTTGTCCTTACAGATTCTCATTATACATGTGTTTGTGGTATCTGAGTGTTGTGTGTGTGTGTGTATGTGTGGATTGTGTGTGTGTACAGTGACTCCTTTACCTTACAGACTCTCATCATACATGTGTGTGTGCACTGACACACTAACCTTTCAGACTCCCATTATAATATATTTGTTGTAACCGATTGTGTGTGTGTGTGTGTGTGTGTATGTGTGTGTTTATTTGAAAACAAGTTTAATATCGAACGGTAAACGCTACATAGATTCATGGCTTTTTCTTTAGTTTTCCATCTCTCTATTTTGTTAAATTGTTATTGATATTTCCCCATTCAGTTATGTCAACCTCGGATTGTTCCAGTCGATGTTATTTATTAATTTATTCAAGTATGAACCCAAGCTTATGGACAATGAAGAAACCAGATTGGTTTACCTTTAATGTATTTAATATTTATTATAGAATATTTATTGTTTATCTGAATTTCGTCTTCCATTTACATCTTCCCTAGTTTTATACATGGCCACAGAGGTGTTTGGATTGCAGAGGAAGGTGTCAATGCACCGAAACGCTGGATGTAATTCTGCATGTTCAAGATACATTATCAACTGCATTTTTGTTGTTGTGCATCATAAATCACATACGCTGTCAAACAATTATGTCCCACATTAGTATTTTTTTTAAATTCACCCTAAACAAAAACAAATGAATCCCGGAGTCCCTGGGAAAGTACTATATTCTAGTGGTAATCTTGGTAATCTTAGTTTCGGCTTCACAGCAAACGAGTCACCCCATAGTTGCTCCGCTCTTGTGCCAAAGAAAAGAAGAAAAAAAAAAAAAAGGATTTTCATCACTGTCCCTTGGGGAAAAATTGACACAGACTACAGTGTCAACGTATTCAATAGCATGCACACGCATTAATAGAATAAGGTTATCACCAGAATTGTTAATATAAACAGTTCGACATTAGAAATGCAGTTCACCATCGACGGAAGCAGCAGTTACAAACAGATCAGCAGTTGCACACAGTTTTAATCACATAAGGCACCATCAATACCGAGGCACCAGGCCACCTGCCAATTTCTGAATTAACAGTTCATAACACCAGGCTGGTCACATTCGAAAAACATTCGAAACGAAATCAGCAGCTCACAGTGTCGCGCCATGCATGCAACTCAATGGCTGGATGACATAACAATATCCTATCAGACTAAAAATGGAAGAAAATGCGGACACCGTCTGTCAGAAGCCGGAAGAATACATACTAAAATTCCAAAGGTGTTATGGATTGGGGCTATGGTTAGCGTTAGGGGTTAGGGTTACCATTAGGGGTTTGAGTTAGGGTTAGTCGCTTCCTCTGAGGCAGATCCGATTTGATTTTAAGAAAAAAATCGTCACGTTAAACCAGCATCCCCTAAGAAGGATCTTTTGGTTATAACTGTGACTAGGTTATTTGTGTCATACAGAGTGGCCTATCAGTGCCCTTGAAAGGACTCTCGCAGTATTGACACAATCAAAGGAGACACACCCAAATACTGTCCCCACGACAAGGCCGTTTAACGTCGAGCCAGTGGGCAACTCAGTCGCCAACGATGATGCCTCTGAAGCAATCGGGGCTGATTAGGATGATAACCCTAACCCATACACTTTTCGGGGAACTCCGGAATTTCCTTTGTTTGGCGTGAATTAAAACTAGACTTCCCACACATATTCAAAAAAGCCGTCTGTTCACACTCATGCACATCACTGCCTGATTGCCATCAATTTCTTGTTCGCATTTAACATGTGTAATGTTTATAGTTACTGCCATAGTTATTCTCAGAATGCCTTGAACACTGGTTCTATTGTCTGCTTATGCAAATGTGTTATTTAACTCATAATGTTAGCACCCAGGCTCATTTCCCGGTGACTCTGGAGCCATGGTCAGTAATTGTAACTCTCTGTGTGGGTTCCGGGACCCCATTCTGGGGAAAACATAAATAGACCCACTTCCTCCCCATCAAGCATGTCGTAGGAGTAGACTAAATGAGTACTTCCCTAGAAGTCGGAGAGGTAAGAAGCCAACCATCTGCATACAATTTAGTAGGATCTGTAAAACAAGACTAATGGCCAGAGGTGGACGAACAACAAGAATTCTCCGCTGGAGTTTACATGCCAGTGAACGCGAAGAAGAAGAGGAAGAGTATTTGTAACTTGCAACTCATTGCTCTCGACCAGTGATTCGCAAACTGTGCGCCGCGGCTCCGAGGGGGGGGGGGGGGGGGGGGTGGGGGGGGGGGGGGGTCTGCGAAATATTCGAAGATAAACCAGTTGTTGTTTTTTTTCGTTTTTTTTTAAATATTTTATAAACGAATAGTCATACTTTTACTTAGGTAAGGGCGCTGTGGAAACATTACAATTGAAAATCAGGCGCCGCAACTAGGAAAAGTTTGGGAATACTCTGGTCTAGACTGACTGTATTTACAACTCTACAATACACATAAACAGAGAAAGCAAGAGTTGACTTGTCCAACAACTAGTTGGAGTACAGGTCGTGTGAGAATACATAAAAGTGCTATTTTCCAACTCCTAGGTCAACACCTACTTTTGATTTTGTGTCCTCAGAATTTTGCATTAAAATAAAAACACTACATAAACTCAGGAAATCGCCATTGACTGTGACGTCACATGATATCTCCCAGAGTGATGTGTGTTTAACGAAAACCAAACCCAGAAACAAGTATCAGTCGTGTGGCTCTTATTTCCAAAGTTAATTAACTTGACACGTTGTCCCCAAACTATATTTTACTGGGTTTCCGACAGTTATTTTGTATCAAGTGCGCTAGACAAGATAACCCTGCTGAGTGAGAATACTGTAGATAGTTAGTTAGTTAGTTAGTCTTTCCTCTTGTGTCGAGTGCGGCACATAGGGCAGAGGTAATGACTCTCCATGCATGGCGGTTCGTTGCAATCTGTTGTAGGTCTTGGATGTTTGAGTGGCCCATGAGCGAGCCTTCCCTGATGATAGTTCTACGTAGAGTTTCCCTTGGTCTTCCACGGGATCTTTTCCCTGTGGTGACTGTAGATAACAGATGCAAAAACATGCGGACACACGTTAATACTTGCATCAATTTCGACGTGTATGTATCGTTAGGCGGTGTGGGGAGAAACAAGTTTGCACTCCATTGCTTGATGAGCGGCAATGGCTTTTATCACTCCGTCTCGACGTAGAAGCTCTTTAGTGTCAACAATCTATATTTTTTTAGTGCGACCTCCTCCTTTCACGTCAAATCTTTTTTATGTGTAGCGTCTACGTTTGTAGTGTTCCGGCTATATTTTTATTTAAAGAACAAATCATTTGATCTTCTGTTTCTCTATGAATTTCCTACAGTCCTTCTGATAATATCATTTCTAACATTGTCTCGTATTGTTAACTCTTTTAGTCCCATAGGTCCTAGCTAATATTGGAGAGAAGCAAAAATGACAGGACTAAACTCATGGGTATTCTGCTTCCACAGAGGTCAAATACCCAAACCTTTGAGAAACCTTTTTTTTTCTTGATTTTTTTTTTTCTCAAAGAATCCTTCACTAAACCTCATATATAAATCATAGATGATGCACTGGGTGGTTTATATGAATAATATCCAATCACATACGGTGCGTTGAGTGGGGCAGAAAGAGTTAAATTAGGGGCTTTTCTCTTTCATCTCCTTTAAATGTGTTAATCTGACACATGTTAACCTTTGATAATATCTGGCACTGGTAGCACAGTGCGCATTTATATATATATATATATATATATATATATATATATATATATATATATATATATATATGTGTGTGTGAGTATGTGTGTGTGTGTGTGTGTGTGTGT